GTTATACTATTTGTATCTTTTAACCCCTCACACAAAGTGGTGGTGTTGATTATCACTGTAATATGGCACTTACTGAAAGTAGAGAATACTCAATCAACAGTATAGATCAAAAAAATGTTTGCTTCAACAACTAACCCTGTAAATAATAAAATTTATGTTGATTCAGATAACTGTCGATATAACTTGGAAAAGGCCTTTATTAGGGAAATGAAAATTAAATGGGAGGTGGCCACTTTGAAAAAGTATGTAAGGGAACAAATTACACCCAGATGCCTGGGATTAAAAAAAAACCCTCTTTTGACAGATAAGATGTTGGTTTCATGATGGGGTGGAATAAGATGTTGGAGTGTTTTGCCTTTAGTACTATGGGATAGTACTCTCTAGGCGAGAGGAGACCCTCCTACAATTAGACCAAGAAATTAAAAACTGGAAAGAAAAAATAAGTGAAACTACGAGCCCCAAGAGATATAGCGAAATAATGAGGGATATAAAAAATAAAGTAGATAAAACCGAGAAAGAAACCATTGAAATAAAAAAGAATAAATTTTTGAGGGACACTAATGACTATAAAATGGGAAACATAAATGCCCCCAAAAAACAAAGATTAGAGTTTAAAAATAAAGAAAAAGAACCATATAGATGGCAGCGTAATCACTACCAAACTAAGAGACATATTGAAAGATGAAGAAGTAGATCACCCTCTAGATACAGACAAAAAAATGGATATGAGAGGCATGAAATATGTAGGACACCCAACTATAGACCAATGGTAAAATACAACCAAATACACACAAGGGGTCAAAATAAAGTATACTCCCCTAGACATGAACCAATTTCCCCTCACTGGAGATACCGCAAGAGGAACCACTCTCCTCTACCAAGGTCCACCAACTACAAGAGTTATAGCCAAGTGGTTCAATCGAATCTCCCAAAAAGAATAGAGAGAAGGAACCCAATATTGAATGAAGAAGAGAGAAGGAGAAAAAAATGACAGATATCCTCCAATGACACAGGGAAATAGAATGGATGAAATAGAGGAACAACCACATACATCTAAATAAGAACCCTCATCGACTTTTTTTCGGAAGGACCCAGCAACAGAGAGATTGAAACAAACACGACAAATCACAATATGGGAATCGCCCGGCAAACGACAGAGATCGGCAACAAAAGAAAGAGAAATAGAAAAAGAAGAAGAGAGACACAGAGAGAAGTGAGGAAAGAGGTAAACTCAGATGGAATCTTTAACTTGACGGGTGAAGAATTACCCAGAGGGTAGATCGAAGTTTTACAGAAAGGCCTAAAATTTGCCCCAACCTCTGATCTTAATAAATTCGATTTTTTTCATAGATGTTAACAAGTTTATTAGACACCTCTGTTTGAAAAAAAATTTTGTTTACAGGGAAGACACCCCAAATGAGGAAGTCTCATCAGAATATACACATACGAATCTAAAAATTAAATCCAATTTTTTCCCCAAGCACCTTATTTCAGACGCGATAAAGACGTTTGAAATAATAGTAATGAAAGAAATAAAGAAAATTAAACTGTTAAATAAGTATCAACAAAAACATGTCAAGCAAAGAAAAGAAAGCAGTGAAAGAATTGAAACAAAATAAAGATACCATAATTAAGACAGCTGATAAAGGGGGATTCCTAAGAATTAGACAAAACTGCTCAAATGACCAAGACAATATAACGCAAGCAAGTAGGATTAAGACCCAATTCTTACAAAAGGGATATGAAGAAACTAAACTTCAGACAGCTCTAGAGAACGTTTTTAAAATACCAAGAGAAAAATTACTAACATACAAAGATAAAAAGAATGAGCAAAAATGGAGCAATGGTAATATCCCGTTTATCTGCAGTTTCAATGGGAATAATAGAAAAGTAAATAAGATTATAAATAAGCATTAGCCTATTTTAAAAGACGACCCAATTCTTAAGAGTATTTTACCGGAAAAACCTAAAATAATTTACAGAGCAGCTAAAAATCTTAAGAATTCCCTAGTACAGAGTAGTGATAAAGGAACGACACCAGTGAATAATTTTTTAAGTATGAGCAAAGGGTTTTTATGGATGTGGACAATGCCTGGCTTGTAGAAATACCAAAAATAAAAAACGACATATAATAGATATGGAACCTATTATAAATCAAACATTTGAAATTAAAGATCACTTAACTTGCTATTCCAAAGGGGTAATTTATATTTTAAAATGTCCATGTAATCTCCTATACGTAGGCAGAACAATCCGATGTCTGAATACAAGAGTAGCAGAACACACAAGAAATAAAAATGGATTACAGACACATAGTGAGATTACATGAAAAAATAGGCATGGAAGAAATGAAATGTATTTTTAATTGTAATACTATGATGCCGCAGGGACTAAACAACGATTTTGAATTGTGCCATTTTATGAATTTTTTTTTTTTTTTATATCACCTCTTGAGTTTTAATGAATTTATTTTGGATATTTTTATGGATTTATTTTACATTTATCTTATCATCAGATTTTGATATTTGTTTTAACAATTGTCAATAATGTTTTATGTGTGCAAATTTATATCATTGGCAATATGTATCCATTTGGAAAATATGTTATTTTCAAATATGAAGCATATATATGCCTTTGTAAATATTTTAATTATTGTGTAAAGACTTGTATAAGTTTATGAAACTGCAATTTTAACTTTTAGGGTATTCATTTTCATTCTTATTGTGATTAAACCTTTATTCCTATTATAATTTGGATATAAGCTCCATTTATATGATGAGACTGCTAAATGTCAATAAAGTTTTCAGGATTGACTGAAAAAGCCGATCGGCAACGTCATACCCGGAAGTGAAATGATGGAAAACAACGTTGGAACGCACGTTGCGTTCCAATAGACGCAATCAGGAAGCGTTGGAACACACGTTGCGTTCCACTAGACGCAACCCGGAAATGGAACTCACCTGAACATTAATTGACGAGCTGGTTATTTAAAACAAGGAACATCGAACGGACTACACGACAGCCAACTGAGGAAGCCTATTTTAGAAGGCGAAACGTGTTTTGGACACTGTTATCAACTATATAGCTTATCCAGATATTTATCTGGTATGATTTTATTATTTTTATATTTGAAATTTTATTCGGATCAATAAAGCACCTTTTTCCTAAAGAAACCACTCTCATCTGGCATTTGTATACTTTGGAGCCGGCCAAGAGGGAAAAGGCAAGCACATATCACATTGGAAAAGAAGGACCTGGACATCCTATAATAGTCCAAAGGCGCATACTAGTGATGTCCCTAACGGTTCTCCGAACGGTTCGCGAACAGTTCGCCACGGACTCATCATTGAGTAAACTTTGACCCTGTACCTCACAGTCAGCAGACACATTCCAGCCAATCAGCAGCAGACCCTCCCTCCCAGACCCTCCCACCTCCTGGACAGCTCACTAAGAATGCAGCTTCAAAATGGATGCTATCCAGGAGGTGGGAGGGTCTGGGAGGGAGGGTCTGCTGCTGATTGGCTGGAATGTGTCTGCCTACTGTGAGGTACAGGGTCAAAGTTTACTCAATGATGAGTCCATGGCGAACCGTTCGTGGCGAACTGTTCACAAACCGTTCGGCAAACCGATCGGGACATCACTAGTGCATACCATTTGAGTCATATGAGGGTATGACTCTAGGCTTGTGAGTGATATTGCTCTTTTATTTTACTTCTCAAGCTTTTAAATACTGTATTGCACTATTGTTTGCATATTTTATTTTGCAGAATATCTGTTGAAATATTGCTCGGAAACTCCACCTTTTATATGTATGTATGATATTAATATATATATATATCAAAATACACTTAGAATGAAATTGTATATATATCTATGTATATATAAATAAATAAAAATAATACGAAATATACATATGTCCATATACAAAATTACATAAATAATTCTATAAATATACACGTAGACTTCAAATATATAAATATGCTTATATATTTAAATTCTACGTATGTATTTATGTAATATTTTTAAATAATTAAGTAATTTTATTGATTGCAATTTGAGGAACCTGCCTGCCAACCCAGGCCGAAAGTCCAGAGAATTTAATTTGCTAGCACTATATATTTTACCCTGTAACGTTCTAGGACACCCTAAAACCTGTACATGGGGGGTACTGTTTTACTCAGGAGACTTCGCTGAACACAAATATTAGTGATTCAAAAGAGTAAAACATATCACAGCGATGATATTGTCAGTGAAAGTGACTTTTTTTGCATTTTTCACTACTGTCTACTTTAAAAAAAATATGTACATGTGGGGTGTTATTCAGAGATTTATGACAGATAATAGTGTGACAATGTCACTATTGATAAATTTTAAAAATGTATGTTTTGAAACCGCAATATCCTACTTGTACCTATAGCCCTATAACATGCAAAAAAATTGCAAAAAAGCACGTAAACACTGGGTATTTTTAAACTCAGGACAAAATTTTGAATCTATTTAGTAGTTTTTTTTTCATTCGCTTTTGTAGATGAGTAAAAGATTTTTCAAGTAAAAGTCAATAAACATGTATTTTTTTTTCAATTTTTCATCATATTTTTTTATTTTTTTAAGATTAAATTACATGAGATTATATAAATAATGGTATGTAAAGGAAGCCCTTTTTGTCCTGAAAAAAACCAATATATAATTTGTATGGGAACAGTAAATGAGAGAGTGGAAAATTACAGCTAAACACAAACACCACAAAAATGTCAAAAGACGCCTGGTCGCAAATGTACAACATTGCAAAAACAGTCCGGTCCTTAAGGGGTTAAAGTGAATCTATCTATTCTATTGAGTGCATGTTGTTACTGCGTGTTTGAACACGCTGCAGCAGGTAGATGGCGCTGTAATTCAGTGTCTGTTCTGTGCAGTGCCTGCAAGTGGCAAGAAAGATTGAGGAGATTTGGCCACGTTCTGTCCCTGTACTCTGTACTCTGACGTCACGCAGTCAGGTGACGCTCCCACCTCCGTCATCAGCAGAGGCCGGTGTTCTAGCTGGCAGTGCCGGAGGCGGTGTAGTATGGTTCGCAGTGCCAGCTGGGTGTCCGGACAGTCCATGCACACAGCTCCCTCTAGGACAGGGAAGCAGGGTGGCCGCAGATCGTGATTCCCCTCATTGGACCCGCTTCTCCCAGTGCCCTCAGATGAGGGGGCAGTGCGCGGCGCCGGCTTCCTGTTAGACTGCGGAGGTGGCAGCCTGGGGAACCCAGCAATGGAGGAGAAGTACAGCAGCAATGTGATGAGCAGCGGCCGGCTGGGGCCAGTGGATAACCCAGAGTCCAGGTCACTGACTGACAATGATTACTGTGCAGCTGTAATGGGGCCATTCATAGGGGGGGAGCACTACTTCTACATCAGCCTATGGGAACAGTGTGTGTGTGTTTAGTGACTGGGAGCAGTGTGTGTGTGTGTGTGTGTGTGTGTGTGTGTTTAGTGACTGGGAGCAGTGTGTGTGTGTGTGTGTTGTTTAGTGACTGGGAGCAGTGTGTGTGTGTGTGTGTGTGTGTGTGTGTTTAGTGACTGGGAGCAGTGTGTGTGTGTGTGTTTAGTGACTGGGAGCAGTGTGTGTGTGTGTTTAGTGACTGGGGAGCAGTGTGTGTGTGTGTGTGTGTGGTGGGAGCAGTGTGTGTGTGGGTGACTGGGGAGCAGTGTGTGTGTGTGTGTGTGTGTGGGAGCAGTGTGTGTGTGACTGGGAGCAGTGTGTGTGTGGTGACTGGGAGCAGTGTGTGTGTGTGGTGACTGGGAGCAGTGTGTGTGTGTGGTGACTGGGAGCAGTGTGTGTGTGTGGTGACTGGGAACAGTGTGTGTGTGTGGTGACTGGGAACAGTGTGTGTGTGAGGTGACTGGGAACAGTGTGCGTGTGTGTGGGTGACTGGGAACAGTGTGCCTGTGCGGGGTGACTGGGAACAGTGTGCCTGTGCGGGTGACTGGGAACAGTGCGCTGCCTGTGTGCCTGTGAGGCAGTGTGCAGCCTGTGCCTGTTGGGCTGACTGGGAACAGTGTGCCTGTGCGGGGCGACTGGGAACAGTGTGCCTGTGCGGGGCGACTGGGAACAGTGTGCCTGTGCGGGGCGACTGGGAACAGTGTGTGCGCGCGCGGGGCGACTGGCGGCAGTGTGTGTGTGTGTGTGCGCGCGCGCGGGGCGACTGGCGGCCGTGTCTGTGTGGGGCGACTGGTAACAGTTACTGGCGGCCGTGTCTGTGGGGTGACTGGCAGCAGTGACTGGTAACACTGTGTGGTGAATGGCGGCAGTGTCTGTGGATGATGTGAGAACATGCAGCTCTGGTCAGATAAGGAATCCTCAGCCCTTAGTTAACTTACACTGCCATTACTCTTTGCCAAACACTGTCAAATATATGATATCTTTATCCATCTTTTCTTGGACACGTTATAGATGTTAATTGGCAGCATGTGAAAGGTTATGCCATGATCATCACTAGTTGAATAAAGATACTCTTGCCCATTTAATATAGTATATATTTCTGTAATACAATTTAAATAATTTGTCACTGATCAAATTTCTATGTTAAGAAAGGATTGCCAGGTTTATGCCATGCAAAGACTTTTGGTCTCTTTCAATAAATTTAAGACACTCTGTTTTCTAAAAAATGTGTCTTAAATTTATGATAGCTCACTGCCAACCTATATGTCATACCATATTTTTGTCAGTACATAATAAGATTATAGCTACTTTCAGCAGGGGCCTCCTAATGTTGTGTTTCAGATTTTTAATTGCTGTTTATGTCCCCAATATAATTTGCTGCAGAACTGGCATTTTATAAAGTAACATTAGCGTAAGTGATTTTTGTACTATATTTCTTGTATTTATATTTTGTCAAATAGAGTAGTAATGTATGTTTATTGGGAAGGCCAGGGAACTAGGCAGTATTATTTATTATTACAGCTGCTGGCATTAAATAGTTTGAATGACTTTATATTACATTGCTAACAATTTCTTTTTGCAGGTTGACCAGGTACATAGCACTTCTCTGCTTCACCAAGTTCTTAAAGGCCCTGGGTGTCTTTGAGTCGTATGATCTACTTAAAGTTGTTCATATTGTACAGTTCATCTTTATATTAAAATTAGGGTAAGTACACTTGCTGTCCTTTGGAGCTCACATTTATAATGATTGTTCATTGTTTTCCATGCTCTCCAATATGTCACTAGAAATAGGTAGACCGATAGAAATGTATATATCTATAGAGAGAGATTTTGAAATGTAACATATGTAAAACTAGCAAACTATGTAACTTCTTTGTATCACACATAGGCATTGCATAGTTGGAATGTACTGATTTGCTTCAAATGTCTGGTTCATTTATATATTCACAGTGCACAAAGCCGTTATTATTGTACATATTTTCATGTAATGTTTCTCTCTACAGGTCTGCATTTTTTATGGTTTTGTTTCAAAAGCCATTTACGTCTGGGAAGAACATTACAAGACGCCAGGTTGGTTGTTCTATCATTTCTTCGTTTAAAAAAAAAAATAAAAAAAATTGTATGTATGTATGTATATAATTTTTTGAAAGGACACTCGCCATTCACCTACACAATTTACATAAATTGTATAGCTTTTGGCCTAGACAATTACAAGTATTGATTTGTATGCTTAATTTGTTAGGTTTGTGCAACATAAATGTTTTGCAGAATTCTGCATATTAATACAGACCCACCTCTCCCATTTTAAAAAACATCTCTCTTGATGGTTACGGTAGCGGATATGATGTCACATTACCTACAGATTGACAGGCAGATGTCTGATTATTAAAATTCCTTTACTATGTGTCTGTTTCTTTGCAGTGGATCAGTATTGTAAAACATGCCCTGGTCAGCTGTATTATTTCACTCCTTTGGTTCTTTGGCCTCACTCTCTGCGGGCCTCTAAGGTAATCATTTTTGTTTTTGCTATTATATGTAAATTTTACTGTTTGCATTTTTCTGTGCATGTAAATATGTGGAAGATCAAAGGTTTACTCCAAGCACCATGACCACTTCAGTGATTTCAAGTGCTCATGGTGCCTGGAGTCTGTATGTGCAGAGTTTCTAAATGAAATGCTTTACTTACTGAGTGTAACCCCTTTGCTTCCAAATGTGTACCTCCACCTCTGCAAGCATCATTGGTGCCTTAGTCAGCCTAGAACAAGAGGCTGGCTAATATCAGTTCTGTCCATGTCACCTGTCATAGAGTATGCCTGATGGAACCCAGGTGTGTGTGTGTGTAAATCATTGCAAAATGGTTTTCCCCATTACTGGGAAACTGGCTATGGTCCTCTTCACATTCTAACCCCTAAAGCAGGTTGTAGTGGTTATGCTGCTAAGTAACCCTTTAACAATTAGCAGGTTTTGAAAGTCTCCTTCCAATCTCATATGGGATATCCATTGGTTAGTAGCCCTCATTGACTACTGTATCTGCTGTCCATCTTTTTTATAAATTTGTTGTTTCTGAACAGGAATCTTAAGAACATCATTTTCTGTTTGAGCAAACACGCCACCTAATAGTTGACGCTTTGTGACATGATGGTAAATTCAAAACATAATGCTACAAAATCCTGAGCATGGACAATGAGCATTCTCAAACACGTCTAGTATTCTTAGAGAGAAAGAATACCATTGAATATATTTTTACACCCATAAGGGCAGCGCAGAGCTAAATTGCCAGGTTGTTCCCTTTGCATGAGATGCCAAAACCCCTGACAGTCATGCGTTTCGTCTGTATGGTGTGCCTCTGTTAAACTCCCATCTCTAACCAGTAAGAGCACAATGGATTCACTAATTGCTCCAGATTAAGAATTTACTAGAGCTGTGTTTCCACTGAAATTATTTTCAAATCTCAGGCATTTTATTTAGTCTCCAAGTCTGTACAATGCTTGATGCTCTCGTCAAGTACCATAGAATGTTTCCCTTATAGCATGTGGACTCACGCTTAAAATTTTTGTTTGTTTTCCAGGACCTTGCTGCTTTTCGAACACAGTGATATTGTTGTCGTTTCTTTGCTTACAGTGCTCTTTACTGGCTCAGGGGGTGGACCTTCCAAGGTATGTCTGCTTTCTAGACTATATATTTGAAGCATAACATTGTATCATATCATCTACTTTTGTGGAAAAGATAAGTAGAAGTTACTTAAAACTTATTAACTGAACTCCTTGTCTTTCCTCCTCCTAATACTGATCCCCCTCTTTCGCTCTCCCTTCAAGTGAGTGGTACCCACATCAGTCCATCCTTGCAAGCGTGCTGTCTTGACGTTATAATTGATTCTGGCCTTACATCCAGTCTGTTACCAAATACTGTATATTCCACCTTAAAAACATATCCCGCATCTGACCCTTTCTTACACAAGATGCTACTAAGGAGCTTGTCCATGCTCTAGTAATCTCTTGCATGGATTATTGTAACTCTCTCCTAATAGGTCTTCCCACAAGTCATATTGCCCCGCTACAGTCTGTAATGAATGCTGCAGCTAGACTGTTTTTTTTCTCTCCTGTCGCTCCTCACACCTCTCCCCTTTGTCAGTTCTTACGTTGGCTTCCTGTATCCTTTAGGAGTCAATTCAAGGTACTAATCCACACCTATAAAGCACTGACCAATTCTAGCCCCTCCTATATCTCTTCACTGATCCACAGGTATGCCTCTTCTCGGTCCCTCCGCTTTGCCCATGACTTTCTCCTGTCTGCTGCTCACACCTGTACGGCCAACTCACGCTTGCAGGACTTCTCGCGGGCGGCTCCCTTCCTATGGAATAGCCTGCCTACGACCATCAAGCTCTCCCCTACTCTTCAATCTTTTAAGAAGTGCCTTAAAACCCATCTTTTTTAGGAAAGCTTATGGCCTTCCAGAGTAACCTCTACCTTACATACCTGTCTCTTGCTCTCTCCGAAAGGGCAAGACTCTACTCTCTCCTCCAGCTCTGCTTCCCTCCACCTTGTTTGATTGCTATTTCCTGTCCTGTTGTGTTTTACGCCCCACGTGCTATAGACTGTAAATTCGTTTGAGCAGGGCCATCTTCAACTCATTGTTCCTGTAAGTTTTTGTAATTGTCTAATTTATTGTTAATTCTCCCCCTTTGATAATATTGTAAAGCGCTACAGAATATGCTGGCGCTATATAAATACCAGTAATAATAATAATAATAAAGCAAAGCAGTAAGGCAGTCCATCTGCTCCTTTCCACTATGCATGGTGTACCGTGCCGTTATGTATAAAATGTTGCTGCATCATACACCTTGTAAGATGTCACATTTAGCTTTTATAAGAGGAAACATACCCAGCGCACGCGACATAGACAGGACCTCCCCTTTTTTTTTTTTATATATATAAACCAGGGCACACCGCGCAACCAAGATGTCCACGGGGGCAGTCAGGACTCTTACTCTTACACATAGCCTCAGCACACGCCACAACCACAGCAATTGTGAGAGATGCCCCAGTACCCTTCTGGCACAGAACAGCCGACAGACCAGTTCATTCTGAAAGGGTCTAACCCTTCACTACCCGCCTCTCATTGATCCCGCCTGTAGCAGCCCCGACACTCTGTTTTCACCAGGCCAATCTCCACACCGCAATGGGTCCATAACACAGCAGCCACAGCTCCAATGCAGGGCGCAGCAGATCAGCTCTCCATGGGAAAAAAGTGCCCAAAGATAGCACCTGAGTTGTAGTCAATCCAACCACCTCATATGCCCATGATGTAAGATCACACGCACACACTGAGCTTTCTCATTATTTCTACATGTCTCTTAAATCTAATGCACATGCTCACTATAGGACCTTACAGATTGATGTACCACATGTGCATAGTTTACAGTTACTTGTACTTGAACAAAAACTAACAGCTCCCACTGTTTATTGGGATGTTGTACACATCTTAAATGCCTCAAAAAACTAAAGAATTAAAAAAAGGCAAATTTTGCCTCCAGTTTTGGCCACTGTGAGGCCATGATGTCATCTGCCAATGAAGAGGCATTGTTATTGGCTAGGTCTGGCGTAAATAGAGAATCAGTTGTGGCTGGGCTTGGTGGTGTGGAAGATGTTTCCTCTGAACGTATGTCCTGTGTTTTTGAGAGGGATTTGGAATGTTTTGATTGTTTTGGTTTTAGTTTTTCCGGATTGTACAAATTTCTCCATTATTGCGTTAGCGAAGTTTGCGTATGGGAAATTTCTTTAAAGTCCCGACATGGATTAAAATATAAGTCCAGATACTGATATGGTGCGCAGGATTACCTTGGCATATATAGGTTTCCACTGTCCAGTAGGGAAACACATTAAAAGATGAAACACTATCACCTACCTTCCTTAACCCCCTCCCCCTCAATTGTTTATTGTTAATCTCCAATATATTTACACAGGGTCGATGTCTCAGACTGTATTCCCTCCTGCATGTATACATATGTGTGCAATATGAAGATAATCTATAAATTTGCCCTAAAAGAACAAGAAATGAATAGACTCTTGTATGATACTTTGTAATTGTTGCATTTGAGAATGTACTCCATTGTATCACCATGTATTAATGCATTAACCTCCATAAAATTTGTCAAATTGAACCTAGGATTTTGCCAATAAATTTATTAGAACATTAGATACATTTTATTCCCTACAAAATGCCAGTATTTTTACTTTCCGTAGTAGTAGTAATACGTTGATGGCAGAGACCGAATCTGGATTCTAATCCAACAAAGTGGTTGTCTTTTAAATTGAATTGTGCTATATTCCAGTAATTCTTCCTCTTCCACAGACTCGAGGTGCTGTATTTTTCATTGTTGCTGTTATTTGCCTTTTGCTGTTTGACAATGACGATCTGATGGCTAAAATTGCTGAACACCGTATCCTTGTTTAAAGTAATAATAAACAAATTATCTTGGTTGGTCAAGACTTTTATTTAATGAGTGGGGGAAAATGGTTGAAATCAAAATAAATAGGAGCACAAAGCTGACTTAGCCAGGAGAACAGCTTCTCAGGGGCCGCCATTGCTGGGCTTTATTTCTTAAGTTATTAATTACCCTATTGCCCTAAATCAACCTCTGCAGCCAACAATGCAATGAGTGCATGTTTCTTTTACTTTCTTTTAATTGGCTCTTCTGACCTTCATCCATAAAACACATGGACAGAACATACTGCTCTCCTTCCGGTAAGTATACACACAATACATGCCATGTAAAAATATACTTAACATTATATTTGCTGCCCTTGTGAAATGCTTACACATTTAAGAAATAATGCTATTTATGGCTTTGTCTGAAGTTTAACTTGTGATGCATTGGGGGAATGCTTAAAGGACCACTATAGTGCCAGGAAAACATACTCTTTTTCCTGGCACTATAGTGCACTGAGGGTGCCCCCACCCTCAGTGCCCCCTTCCTGCTGGGCTCTAGGGGGGAGGAAAGGGTTAAACTTACCTCTTTCTGCAGTGCCGGGCGGGGCACTCTCCTCCTACATAGTGATGTCATCGGCTGAATGCGCATGCGCGGCAGGAGCCGTGCGCGCATTCAGCCAGTCCATAGGAAAGCATTCTCAATGCTTTCCTATGGATGCTGGCATCTTCTCACTGTGAAAATCACAGTGAGAAGCATGCAAGCGCCTCTAGCGGCTGTCAATGAGACAGCCACTAGAGGCTGGATTAACCCATTTGTAAACATAGCAGTTTTTGAAACTATGTTTATAGAAAAGAGGGTTAATCCTAGCTGAACCTGGCACCCAGACCACTTCATTAAGCTGAAGTGGTCTGTGTGCCTATAGTGGTCCTTTAAAGTGTTGTCATAAGAAAATGAATGCTCCTGGGGTTTCCATCTTTGTATGATTTCTGGCCAGTAGGTTTTTCGTGACATTTATTTTAAATAAAAATTATTATTAAAATATGTAGGAAGGCAAGGAATTGCTCCCTACTCTACTTCAATAAATGTGAGTTATTTGTAATTAGCCTGTTACTTCCTAGTGAAGGTAGGATACCAAGATTGGCACAGATTGTAATTAATAAACATTAGAAACTGTATTTAATTTCAGTGTAGGCTTTTTTTTCTGTTATATGTGCAGAAAATGCTGGGAGGGAGAAAAAGGTCTGTTTTATACTTGGTATGGGTGTAATTTCTTCCTTGACTCTTGTGGATTAGCTGAAGGACATCATGACAGTGCGTTAACACACTTCCTATACACAGCTTTCTCACTCCTGGGAGTTGCTGATCACAAGGTAAGATGTAGTACAGCAACTGAAACTTCTCATTTGTATCATTGTTTTCACTGCAATCCTCTATATCATACATAAAAAAAGATAATAAAAAAAAAACTTTGACCTTTTGTCTTTTTCGAGGGACTAATGTATATTTTGCATAGACATTAGAAGGTGACCTCTCCCGTTACGGTACAGTGTACACGTGATTATTGCACTAGGGTCTATGCAATGCTGCAGGAACATCTATAGATGTCTCATGACTAGTGAGACCATACCTGAATAACAGTCATCACTTGAGCGGTGATGGCTGCTCTTGCAATTGGACGACAGTTGTCTTATGGTATCTTAGGATTGTGGCAACGCTTTCCGCATCAGTATTTTATCTTTATCATTTTTATTTTTTTATTCACTTTTCCTTTCTGCATCATGTGTTCTATGTTTTCACTGCTGAATTATCAATTTGGATATAGTGGACCTGTCGTGTTTTGTAGAGTTATGCAAAATATATGTGCATTCAGATAGTCACATAAAATAAATAATTGTATGAAAATTATTGAAGCTGCTGCCAACTGTGGCTTTCATCCCATCTTTGCAACTGGCAACATATCGTGCCAGGAGTTACTCTTATGTTTTTGTGCAAGAAGAACATATAGTTCTCTGGAGAATAACCAGATTTTATTCTGATGTTAGTAGGAACGTTTTGTGTGCACAAACAAAATCCCTGTTGGCCATTAATGATGGACAGCTTGCAAAAATGAAAGACTTTGTCTAGTGAAATGCAAAGATTAAACGGACACTCCCAGCACCATAACAGTTGCAGCTTATCGATATGCTCTTTGCCTGCCACTGGGATTTACTTTGGTAGGATTGCTCCAAAGCCAGAAGGCAGAGAGAAGGTGCTGGGACACATCCTGTGTCCGGTGCTCACACTATAGTTCTGGGCTGGCTGATGACTGGTCTGTGATGCTGCCGGAGGTGGGGTTCTACCTGGGGCAGTTAAGGTGTTAATCTCTGTGCACCGATTCAAATCGAAATGCTGCACATGCAGACTCCATACACCATGACCACTTCAAATCAGTAAAGTGGCCATGGTGCTTGGAGTAACACTTTTAAGTATTGTTTATTATGATGCTTCGTGTCCTGGGAAATATTAGCCACATTACAACTGAAAACTCTTTTACAAAGTATACTTTTACCTTTTACATTTTTAAAGCAAATCCACCCTGAAACATTTTCCACTTTGTAAATCATGTTGGCATTTCAGTTGTCATTGGACTGCAACTCCTTCAATTCCTAGGCAGTTAAACAACTAAGGTAATTGTAGTTCATTAACAGCTGGAGGCAGGCTCTTAATTAATTTTTAGTATAACCATATTACGGCCAATTTATTGCAATTTTAAAACCTTGATGCGTAAGTAACTGTTCTATATAAACAGTTAACTGCACAGACTGTTTGAATTAATACACATTTTCTGTTGTCAATTTTAACCTTCTTGTTTTTGAAGTGGTCTCTATTAATCCAAATCCATCTGTTTTCTTGTTGGTTTCAGGGAGGAGTACTGTTGCTTGTGTTGGCTTTATGTTTCAATGTTGGTTTTCACACAGCTTCCCGAAAGCTCTCTTTAGATATTGGTGGAGCCAAACGTCTTCAGGCTTTGTCTCACCTTGTCTCTGTCATAATACTGTGCCCATGGGTCATCGTTCTCACTGCGACTACAGAGGTAACGGGGAGCACCTTCATGTATTTTACTTTTTGTGCAGGTTGTTATTTATAAATTCAGGATGTCCTGTTATTACATAAGTCTGTGTTATGTCTCTTAATATACTGTAAATAGGGTGAAGAGAATAACCGTCTACATTTCTTAAATTGAGTTGAAGAGTTATAAATATATCTAGCACAATAAAATAGACACTTAAAACATGCAAAGTATTATTACTTATAACATACATCCAAGGTGAAAAATCAGTAACGTGCATAAAATACAACTTCCATCAAATGTAACATGTAGATACTGACAGTGGTCACTCACAAGTATAATGCTGCAAAAAGTGTACAAAAGCACATATTTACCATAACTCCGGCACCCAGTCTGCCAGTCAGCTTGGACCAAGCTGTGCTATAATACTTTGGGATCAAAGTTGGTTGTCTACGCAGAATATAGCATTGCAGTTATAGATGAATCTAGTGCTTTGGCAACTTGCTTAAATAATTTGTGTCCATCTATACTCTTCTGAGGAAATCTGAGATTAAACACTTTCAGTGAGTTTTCCCATCAGTGATTTCAAATTTCCTTCCAAATTTCTAATTGCTGTACAGGTTATTCTGATGAAGGGATAGTTGGCAAGTTTTATGGTCCTGGCTTCTTATCCAATATGGATAAAAAAGACATTAGGGTAAAGACATGGTGTTCTTTTTGTTTTACTTTTCCAAAACTGGACATTCTTTTGAGCACACATAGTAAGCCAGTTATGTAATTATAAGTTGTCACATACACAGAGTGCGCTTTTAATCTTCCTGATCAATTTTAATGACTTTGCTTTGACATAGTGGGTCCCTTTTTGTTTAATGTTTATACCCTCACATTGTCATTCGTGCAATGTTTATTAATCATCCACTACTGCCATTTTAATTAGTGTATGATTGATTTTTATCATCATAGAGTCCATTAAGACTTTCAATGGTTATTGCTTGAGAGCCCCTATTACAGAGTAGCAGAACCAGTAGTCTGTGTTATGCCATTGCTCCAGATATTCTGTTTTTAAACATCTTCTCCAGCATGTTCTGGCACCAGTTTATAGCTATTTTATATGCAGTCATTTATGTGTTGCATTTAATTTGTGTATATAACACCTAGCATGTTGTTTGTATTACAGAGCAAAGTAGAGTCCTGGTCCTCTCTGATCATGCCTTTCACTACAGTGATTTTCTCTGTCATGATTCTGGATTTCTACGTAGAATCAGTTTGTTCGGTTAAGATGGAACCATCTAAACGTGCCCGTTATGGATCCTTCCTGATTTTTATTAGTGCCCTTCTACTGGGAAATTTCTGGACGCATCCAATAACTGACCAGCTTAGAGCCATGAATAAGCCTGCACACCATCAGAGTACTGAGCATGTCCTCTCTGGTGGTGTAGTAGTGAGTTCCATTTTCTTCATGTTGTGTAAGTATTTAATCTGATATAACAATGTGGTTATATTAGTACCATAAGCATTGCTAGGGTGGTGGATTTGGCGACTGAAAACCCCCTTAGTACAGGAAGTTTACAGGGCTGTAGCGTGTTATATTATTTTTTACTTATTACTTTTTTTTCCATAACTTTACTCAAAACCGTGTGACATAAAAAGGAAAATCAGTACTCTAAAGCATCACAAAACCCTTGGAGGAGTGTATGGTGCCCCCCATGTAACTGTCAGGAGGGTTTGCTGGGTAACAGAACTTTGCTGCACATCCTTCAAATAGTTATGAAGCATGGATTTCATTGAATGTCTGGCTGTTCAGGTTTTACTTGTGTTTTGGATATGCTTTCATTGAGATCCAGAGAGCATAACAAGCACACATTTCTTGGGTAGAGAGAAGGGGACATAGCAGAGAGTGGTGGGGGTATGTCATGACATATGACATATATGACATATTCCTGCTGCCTTCTTAGTGTAGGGTTTACCGAGATGTGTACTCCTGCAATGTACAGATTATAATAAGGCAATGCTTTGATTTCAATTGTTTCAGATGTCAATTAAATATTTAGCTCCTCTTCATTAACACATTAATGTAACCCCTGCCCATGTCTTCCCCACACCCAGAATGGACTTACTTTGGAAAACGTCCCTTAGCAGGGCACACTTCCTCCATGATGCCATCTTGCTGGCTTCATTGCCAGTGCATCAGCATCTGAAAGTGTGAGAAATTATTTTAGAGTAATAATCACAGCATGTAACTGTGACAGAAAGCAGGAGATCTACAGGAGAAAGCAGGGTTCTCTGGCTCGAAATGTTTGATTAGTCTCAGCTAACGTTTACAAAAGATTTTTTGTGAATGTCACTTGATACAGTTCGAGTGCAAAGGAAGTGAGCAATGGATGGCAGTCTTTTACAACAGCTCTGAGATGATGTGGTTATGGTGTATAAGATTATAAGAAAATTTGTATGTAAAGAAACAAACAAATTTTAAAACCATAAGGATGCACACTCTAAAGAGACCTTATAGCATAATTCTCAGTGCGTCCAGGCTTTGTATCTCAGAATTTGATCTTTCCCCTTCCAGATTGATATAGTATGATATTTTTAATTCTAATTTTGCTCTGAACAAACTGAATTGAAAATAAAGGAGCTCTCCAAGCACCATAACCACTGCAGTGTGATGTTATGGTGCCAAGAGTGCCCTGGCACCTACCCCAGTGTAAGTAGTTAAACAATTTGGTACCTGGTGTTCACTGGGCACTGCACCACGCCACGCCACCTCTCGGTAGGAAGTGAGAACCAGAAGCACCTTCCAGGGTCAACTAATTGGCTTTGTGTGATCTCTCAGCTACCAGGCTGGTGTCTGCTGAATCTCAGGTGCTTAGAGTGTTCCTTTAAGTTTTAAGAGTAGCTTCGCTGAACTACACCCGGTATTTTTATTTTTTATTTCTGCATTGTTTTGAGTGTGTGTTTTTGTTTTTTGTTTTCCTTCTAGGTATCATCCTTCCATTAATGCTTTTCACTTATGTTCTATAATAATGTACAAATTTCTAAATGTTATGTATTTGGCAGCTGCAAATATTTTGTCCTCGACAACCAGAAAGGGACAGAAAGGAACCTTAGTTGGTTACTCACCAGAAGGTACACCACTCTATAACTTCATGGGAGATGCTTTGCACAGTACATCGTCATCAATGCCCAGGTTTATAAAAGATTCTCTAAAACAGATCCTTGAAGAATATGACTCAAGACAGATCTTCTACTTCCTGTGTCTAAATCTGGTATGTGTTCTCCTTGTTTTATTTATTTCTAATTGCCCTTTCCACCATGACCCCATAAGGCACAGTCACAGAGGAAGATTATCATAAGCTGATAAGCATGACTTTATGATATGGGTGGAGTTAAGATTATAAGTAGTTCACTTAAATTGTCTGTCACCTCAAATGTGCCTTTCTCATATTATTTCCTCTTTAAGAATCTATTCTTCATTTCTGATTGACTTCTATTTAATACATAAGGCGAAGTATGGACTACTTTGTCTTATGTATTTTTCCTACGCTTCACAAAAATTTCCTAATTTCACGTTTGTCATGCTAACGAAGAGGGAAGCTTGCCTCCATCCTTTGTCAAGTTTTGTCAAGCATCCATTTCTGTTGGACACTGCCCAATCAGATGTGTATTACAGCTGCTTGGGAAGTATGAATGGCAAGCATTAAGATCTGCAAAGCCCCTTACTTCAAAGTGAGTTCAGGCGCAGAGCTAGCAAGGTGTGACAGAGGTGTTTTTAAAAAAAATGTTGATTTCCTTTTTAAAATAAGTGACTTTTTTTTTTTTTTTTTTTAAATTAGCCTACAGGGACGATAAACGGAACACTAAAGCTCCTTAGCAAGCTGAAGAGTTTCATGTCCTTAGCACATTACACTAATTCATTAATTGCCATATCTCATATATGTTTTAGGATAAAACCAAGTGGTATTGGATTGTCAATAAAAAGAACATAATGGGTTTATTGAAACTGCCTATAATGTGTTTTCTGTGATTTGGGGGCTTGTTTGTTTTGGGGTTTTTTTTTCTCTTGTTTTTACTCCATTGTGTGTGTTTTGGGTTTATTTTAGGCTTTTACGTTTGTGGAAATTTTTTATGGAGTGTGGACTAATAGTCTAGGTTTATTGTCTGATGGGTTCCATATGTTGTTTGACTGCTCTGCGTTAGTGATGGGCCTTATTGCTGCCTTAATGACTCGGTGGAAGGCAACAAGAATATTCTCTTATGGGTGAGTCCTAATTTATTTTCATGCTTGATGTAATAACAGTCACTGTTTTTTGCTGTTTGCATGTATGTGACAGAATGGAAAGAAACATTTTTCATTGGTAAATATCAAGAAATCGTTAGTTATGTTAACATGGATTTATTTTATGTGTTTATTTCCCTAATCCCATTTCCGCCTTTATAGGTTTGGACGAGTAGAAATTCTGTCTGGCTTTATCAATGGGCTATTCTTGATGGTGATCTCGTTTTTTGTGTTTATTGAAGCTGTGGCTAGACTGTTTGATCCCCCTGACATTAATACAGACATGTTAACAGTAAGTAGTTGTTTTCTTATATATTCTATGTACAACCTATGCACTGCTTGTAAACTTAAACACCCAAGAGCCCATTTTTGATCCCCTGGCATACGTGTATACATATGTGTGCTTGTGTGCATGTCACACCCTCCATATACGATCCAAAACGTTGTACTTTGTTCTTAAAGCCTATTGTGGAAAACTTGGTGTGCCTAGGGGCTTTCTATCCTGTTTAACTCCTGACAATCTGTGACTGCTCTTTGTAGGCAAAGTGACCAGTAGAGGGATTTGAAAAAATTTGGTGTAAATTCATTTTGATGTAGTAATTAGAGGTCTCATGTCTCAAAGTCTTTCAATGTTGACAGGAAATAGAAGCAGAAGTCTGGCAATATTATCTAAATAGACGTCTGCCAGGAAACATTAATCAGCACTGTTCTTAATGTTAAATCTAGAATTTAGTTTTTAATCTGAGGATTTTATCCATTTAGATGCTCTGATGCATATGATCTCTCATGAACAGAAATAGACACCAACAAATACTTTTGTACTGCTGTACATTAAATGCTGATTTTGTTTTGAACAGCCAGTCTCAGTTGGAGGACTCTTGGTAAACTTGGTTGGAATCTGTGCTTTTAGCCATGCTCACTCCCATGGGGCTTCTCGAGGAGGATGTCCATCTCATGAACATGGGCATTCTCACCACGGACACAGTCATGGACATGGCCATGGTCATTCGCACAGTGACCATGGACATAATCACAACCACAGTCACAACCATGGACACTCCCATGCATCTGGAGGAGGAGGCATGAACGCCAATATGCGAGGCAAGTAACCTGTTCGTCATTATAATGTGAAAACACACACCTATTCATACAGTATATATGACGATTATGTGCAATGTTCATGATTGCACGCACACTTGCAACTTAATGAAAAAACAAATGATTTTATGAAATACAAATGAAAAAGTCCAGGCAAAGTAAAATTTACAGAGAATACATTTTTTTGTAGTGGTGGAAACTGAATGCAGTTTAACAATTCAGCTTTCTTAATTTAATACATGGAAAATGTTAAAACAAACCACTAAGTTATATAGTGAGACAGTTTTCTCTGTGGATTTACATGCCAAAAGAAAGTTTACACCAGTGACTTTACAAAGTAAGCACGCTTTTATTTATTTAATTAAAAATATTAGATATCTATACATATCTAATACAAATATTAAGGAAAATTGTTTCATACTTACCGTAATTTTCTTTTCCTGATCATTATTCATGGCAGCATTTACTCGTGGGTTAGCTCCTCCCCTTACAGCAGAAAGGACAGGAAATAGAACTCTGAAACTGGTATAAATAGATCCTCCCCCTTCCCATCGGGCAGTCTTTGTAACTAGCTTCACAACTCCTATAGTATATGGGTGGGAACGTAATGCTGCCATAAATAATTATCAGGAAAAGAAAATTACGGTAAGTATGAAACAATTTTCCTTATTCCTAATCAATCGTGGCAGCATTTACTTGTGGGGAATACCCAAGCAGTATATATCGAGGGAGGGACAGAGCTCAAAAACAGCTAATAGCTATAAAACCATTATTGAGCTGCATAAACTTTAGAAGACTTTAACCCATTAAGGACCAAACTTCTGGAATAAAAGGGAATCATAACATGTCACACATGTCATATGTCCTTAAGGGGTTAAAAAAGCCAAACAAGTAATCAATAGGATATTGTCATAAAATCTGCTCAGACAAGTTAATTTACCGTAGAGGCTGCGAGGTCAGCAACCTCCTGGCATTCAAATGTCTGAAATATCCTGAATAAATATAGAGCCAAATAGGCATTAAGGCCCTGATAGCCTAGTCTAGAGACCCTCTATGAAACCCCCAGACACGGTCTAGAAATTATAGATCTATTATGTCAACAAAAAAGGATAATGTCCTTCTCTGATATAAATTTAAAACCAAATGGCATCATCAAATCAGAACCTTGACAAAGGCTTAACTTCCAGAAATCATACTGGAACAATCTGACCATGTTGGATGAAAACAGTCACACCATGCTAACAGGGGGAGAATTACACGGATAATCCCACTACTTTCTGGATGTATTTATTAAAGACAATTCACATTGTGTCCTCTTGCCTAGTGAACTACTTACCTGTAGATACAGGAAACAAATCAATATCTGCCTGTCAGAAAGAGGCAGAGCCTAGTAGAGAAATAAGAGCCGGTTATAAAAAACACTGCAACAATGAATATATAATGCAGAAGCAGACTCACAACAATACTACACACCGTGAATGAATTGATACAGTAATGATCAGATACAGGAGAGGTATAAACCAATACCATTACTAGGCAAAGGCAAAAAGAATCATATACAGATTAGTTGAGGAAAAAAGAAATATCGGTATGAACCGTAGAATTTGTGGCAACTTCTAAATTATAAGTAGGCAATGTAGGCCAACCACGTCAGTACCTACATTCAAAGATAAACATATTGTAAATAGTACAGATTATACCAAACAGCATAATAAAATGTATTAGAGACTGTTGTGCAACCTGAGTAGGAGATATGCAATAGGCGCATGATACATTGTGGCAACAGACATAATAAGCAGGATAGTAGAAGATATTCAGTTATCCTTATGAGAACAAACAACCGCATACTTACTCTTACCTTATCTTCAGATAGTGATGAAGTACTTATGGCAGAGCCTATGGTGATAAGCAGTTGGTTTTATCTGCAAGATATCAACACCAAACCAAGCATATAATCCACGAGTATTAAATCAATGCAGTGTTAGGAGTGACCATAACTTATACCGATCTAGGTACAGGGACCATGTAAAACATATGAGTCAAATGTTTGTCATCAACAAGCTGTATTACATTATATTATATTATGCAGGATGAATCAACCATTTAAAGCCACACATTGGTTGCAAATTCCAGATATAAGGACACCTAGAAGAATCCCCATGGATATCAGAAGAGAGGTCCATAATGGATCTACCTGTTTAGGGATTTCCTCTATTGTTCAGACAGCAGGTGAATTTTACCTGAAATAGTAAACCTGGTAGAATGGTCTGGGGACTGGAAAGACCTTCCAATGTCAATTAAAATACTTGCAATACACAGTATCAAAGTTACCTGGAGCATATGAGCCTAAAATAATACCTTTTATTGCAGAAAGGAAATAATGTTCCCCTTCACAACAGGGGAATCTGTGAGAAAATTCTGAACATTAACTCCTTAAGAACCAAAAGTATGCCACTCCTGACATATACTAAAGGGATTGCCAAACTTTCAGGTCCCTAAGGAATAAAAGAGACTACTGAATAAAAAGTATAAACCAGACCAGGAGTAGTGAATTTTTCAGAGTAGAAGCTTGCAGAAAAATAAAATGATACTAAAGTTATGACCAGGTGAAAGAAAAAGCCAATATTAACAGCTTTTAAATCAGTTAAATTAGATTTTAGAAAGAAAAGAAATATACCAGAGAAAACAGTCAGGTAATTGTTTCAGCGTTACCTACTTATGAGATAAATTAATAGCCCAATTTGTGCTCCTGCAACCAGTATGATCTACTAAGCTGTGCATCACTAATCGACATATATCTGAAGGTAAAACACTGCCACCAATTGAAAAAACATTCCCTATCTTGAACTGAGAGGAGAGGATACCTGGCAATAGAAAAACTTTTGAGAAATGGTCTCATGTATAAATACATAGGAGTTCACACAAAAGGGCCTTAATTTTGTTAAACAGTACCATGCTCCATTTTGGAAAAACAGGTCTCCCTCTCTCCTGGGAGAGGCACTCAGACAGGTTCAGTAACACCTGCAATCTATCTGAAGTGGTAAAATGTGTTAATTGCTGTGACAAAATGGCTTTTGTCACTGGGTCTGCATGTGACAAACTGCCCTACCCCCCTGTCTCTTGGAGGAGCTGGATTGCTAGCCTCTTACCCTGGGATGCTGGCCCTTTAAGTTATGGGGTCTTAAGGCACTTAGGACAGAGCCCTTTGTCCCTGGATCACATTGTTCGCCTTAATTGCTTGGATTTTACATTTCCCCTGGTACATTCGTATGTTGGTTCGTGCAGTTTAACTTCCAGTACGGCCAGGATAATGCTGTTCGTACAGACGAACAAACTGCCGAATGGCCGACCACCCTGTCTGTGGAGCGTGCTGCTTATTTACCACCCAGACCTTGCGGTTAACCGCAAGGTAATTGATGAAAGGCATGGTGGTCCGCGTTCACCTACCGAACACGTGGCAATCGCCATTTTGTTTTGTCAAACGCACAGCGGTAAATGGTGAGGATTCCCTGGAACTGATTTCGGCGACCTATTTTGTCGAACACCGCTGCTACCTTCACCCATCCTCGTTCATACGGTGGAAAAATACACGAATGAAGGGATAATACTTCATTCGTGCGTTAAAGTATGCGAAAGTGACCGACCCCAGATAGCTATACTAGAGAACTTGCAATCGGTTACAAACACACGAACGGCCAGTGAAAGTCAAACTTCAGTCGACGATTCTGAGAACTGTGTTTGTGGGATCTGAGCGCTATTCGCATAGAATATGCACTCAGATCCAAGCTATCTGGGGATATGTGGAACTTAAAGTTTATGTTGTGTAAAAAGAAAGTTATGTATTTTTATTCTGTTTTTGCTAAATAAGAAAAGACATGCTTCTTTCCTCCTGGAGATAATTAAGGCTCTCTTTGCTACCTTAATCTAATTATCTCCAGGATGGAAAAGAGGGAGTGATTTAGGAAAAGGGGAGTGCTTATGCTATAGCCACTGTGATTGGCTACTGTGTTACTTCTGTCCCAGTCTTCCATCTGGTCCCCTAGGGGAGTGTCCACCAGGTGGAAGACCTGCATAAATACCGGGCGGGTAGCCCACAGTAAATCAGATCGTTTTACCCCTTCATGAAGTCTCGACTCATGTTTGGGGGATTGGAAGCTATAATCACTCTGTTTCAGCGGGATTTCGGGAGAAGCTGCAAGGATCATCGCTGCACGTATGCAAGGATCCTTTACAATTGCTTATCCTGAAACACCTGTGGGAGAAGGAATCTAATACAAAGCCAAAAGCAGTATGTTTCCTTATCTACTTCATTTAAAAAACTGAAATAGAAAATCCACAGTAGGCAATAATTACTTACCCAGTACAACAGTGCATTTGTATTTGCTAGAATTGGGCAGTGCTACATTTCAGCGCAAAACAGACCTTAGATCATTTGTATATATTAAATCTATCAATGCCGTGTATAAATTGGGGTTATATAATACTACCAACCTGCGTGCAGATTATATGAATCACATACATTGTGGATGTTTCTAACAGCACCTTATACACAGATATATCAGTTACATATACTGAGTCTGTTTAAACAGTAATCATACATAGCCTACCTCTTCTATATACAGTGACACTATGCCTGCACACATATTAAGATTATATGAGTGAGATAAATTGAGGCTGTGTTTTAACAGAACTTCATGCACAGAATATACATCTCACATATACTGAGGTTGTGACTCACAACCCACACATAGAACCAGTATTAGATTGAAATCCTATAGCGGATGTACTTATATCATTTACATATATTGTGTTTCCACTAATACATCAATCATATAATGAACAGATACACTGAAGCAAGGTCTCCAACTTACACATAAAGCATGTAGAGGACATATACTGAGGCTGTGTATTCACAGCAACACAGAGCATATAAAGAACACATACTGAGGCAGAGTCTTCCGATAAACTCATTCATTCACAATTTAGTGGATATATATACACTAAGGCTGTGTCCTCATATAATTCATACATAGAGCATGTAGTGCATACATATACCTGAGGCAGTGACCTCATTGTAACTCATACATAGAGCCTATAGTGGATACCTATACTGAGGCAGTGTTCACACAGTAACTCTTACATAGAGCATATAGTGGATACATATACTGAGGCTGTGTCCTCATAGTTACTCATACATAGAGCATATACTGGACACACACTGAGGCAGAGTCTTCAGACCAATTCATACATAGAGCATATATTGGAAACATACTGATGCTGTAACAGAAACCAGTTTGTGTACAGATACTGAGACCGTGTGGTCTCCTGTGCATTATATTCTTCCACTGTCTGCAAAGCCTGCTTATTTGTGATAATGCACAGATAACAGCAATCAATGCCACATGCCTTGATAGAAACAAGTGTGTGTATGGACTTAGAGTTAGGTTTTAAAACCGGTCATATACATGTATGTACTTCAATCAGTTATCCAGGAAAGTTCTCTTACCTAGGATATTTCTCTGTCTTCTGGACTGTGGAATTCCAGCAGACTTTATACAGCCAGGATATCCATTATTAGCACTCTTTTTTCACAAAGCCTCATTGCATTATCAGCACTCTTTTGCACAATGCCTCCTTGCATTACCAGCACTCTTTTGCACCAAGCATTCTTTCATGTATAAAATTACCTAAATGCTCCCCACACAAACCTCCTAAATGTGACCTATTTGTTAGAAGGAAGCCTAATGTAAGCAGCTGGGAGGGACCGAAAGAACAGAGACCCAGGTGCCTATACTAGTTTTAATCTAAATTGCACTTAACTGAACAGCTGCAGGCCTGTGTTTCAGCTGCAAAATGGGGATTTGAACAACTGACAGCCTAAACTGTTTAAACTATAGGCTTCCATCTGTACCCCATGTGCCATTCATCATCACCAGTGGAAGAAGGTTTAACCAAACCTCAGACAAGGTGGAATACGTAGAATAGGTATACCCAGGTATTCACCTTATGGAAGTGCTGTATTTTGGGTCTTCAGGGATAAAGGCTTAGACTCGGCTGAGCCTCATGTATGCAGTGGACTACTGTCATCACTTCAGAGAGAGAAAGAGGTCAGACCCCTGGTTGCTGAAGGAGGTACCCAGGCTGGCAACTTTTACAGATGTGCTGTTTGCTGGGGCTTCATGGATAAGAGGCTGAACTCTGGCCTGGCTTTATGTAGGCAGTATATAACATACATCCCCTGAGGGGGTACCCAAGCTGGCCTGTTGCTGGGTCTTCAAGGATAAGAGACTGAACCCTGGCATGCAGTGGACCATTTTCATCCCCTGAGGGAGAGGTTGGATCCGACCCCCGGTCACTAAAGGGGGTACCCAGGCTAGCCACCTTTACAATAGTGCGTTGCTGAGTCTTCAGGGCTTAGAGGCTGAACCCCGGCAGGGCTACAAAAATATTGCCTGGTGAGCATAAAAGAAAAAATTGCGGCCTGCATAAGCAGACTCCTTCCAAACTGCTGTGAAGGACAGGAAAATAGACTGCCCGATGGGAAGGGGGAGGATCTATTTATACCAGTTTCAGAGTTCTATTTCCTGTCCTTTCTGCTGTAAGGGGAGGAGCTACAGGGGTTAAAGCGACATGAGTGCAGATAAGACAGGTTTGATAGAACATAGACACCATTCTTGCAGAGGGTTGTAAATATCTTATGCGAAGATCTGAGTGAGGGGTGGGGAGAGAAAGAAAACAAAAACAAGCGAAAGGTGCTAAAAGGGGGAAGTATTAATATAAAGAGTGCCTGAATTTCCATCCAAGAGTTACAGGATATGCATAACGGCCTATATCCAGCATACACACACGTACATACTTACACTCATGTACATATACACAAGTAGTGCATATGTACAAGTATACACAAGAACATACACCCTATACACCAGTACATACAATATACATATAAATACAACTAAATACCCAAATATATGTACATGCACACCTACACAAGCATCTATACATGTACCTACACATATACCAATGTGCCTACACATACATTGACCCATGTATATGTACACATACACCTATTCACATATATCTGTGTGTATAATATATATATATATATAATGTGTTAACCATAATCCCCTGAAGTGCTGCCAGACTAACGATCTCCTTCTCTTGTAGGTGTATTTCTACATGTGTTGGCTGACACTCTTGGAAGTGTAGGAGTGATTGTATCAACCATACTGATTCGACAATTCGGCTGGCTGATAGCTGACCCTCTGTGCTCACTCTTTATCGCTATTCTGATATTCGCCAGTGTTATCCCTCTACTTAAAGATGCATGTGAAGTGATTCTTCTCCGGATACCACCGGAAACTGAAAAAGGAATAAATATCGGCCTTGAAAAGGTTAAGCGAAATTTCATATTTATTATAGTTGGAGTTTGAGAGAGAGAGAGTATATGTGTGTATGTATGTGTGTGTATGTGTATATCGTATTATGTAGTAGGGGCTGGCCTCTGATATCCAGGATATGTTAAGGGGAGAATTCCATCTATGTTAAAGGACCACTAAAATGCCCTGAGGGTGCCCCCACCCTCAGGGTCCCCCTCCCGCCCGGCTCTGGAAGGGGGAAAAGGGGTTAAATCTTACCTTTTTCCAGCACTTGGCGGAGAGCTCTCCTCCTCCGATCCTCCTCTTCTCCTCCCCGTCGGCTGAATGCACACGCGTGGCAAGAGCTGCGCGCGCATTCAGCCGGTCACATAGGAAAGCATTCATAATGCTTTCCTACGGACGCTGGCGTGCTCTCACTGAAAATCACAGTGAGAAGCACGCAAGCGCCTCTAGCGGCTGTCAATGAGACAGCCACTAGAGGAAATAGGGGAAGGCTTAACCCATTCGTAAACATAGCAGTTTCTTTGAAACTGCTATGTTTATGAAAAAATGGGTTAACCCTAGCTGGACCTGGCACCCAGACCACTTCATTAAGCTGAAGTGCTCTGGGTGCCTAGAGTGGTCCTTTAACACAACAAAACATTATTTAGCTTTGATTATTTGGGTGAATGTTGCTTGCACAATGGGTAAGTGATAAACACTTAAGACTGACTTACGCACACAGTCATGTTTTTAGACTGATAAACCTTATGTGGCTTCTTCCTCTGCTAGTGCACCTGCTCGGAAACCTGGATACTTACATATTTACTAACTAAACTCCAAATTATCACACATTTAATCTGAAAGAAAGAAAACTGAGACAAAAGTAGCTGATATGGAAATATTCTTTGACTCGGTTATAGTCACAACTTTTTTTTTTTTTTACTTTTTTCAAATGTTTTTCCATTAAGATTTAATTCTAGAAAATGTAGAGTTTAGTGAATAAACCCATTGAGCTTTGTGCAAATCTCCATTGCACAAACATTGGTTGATCATGAATGTGCAAAACATTATCATTGTTTGCTGAAGTATATGTCATGTGGAAGCTAGTTGTGATTTGTGTTTAATGAATTATGATTGTGTTGTGTATTTTTCCCCATGTAATATGAATGGCACCAATACATGTAGTGTGGATATACCGGATGAAACTTGTGTGACAAAGAACTGCTTAATGTAATAGATGATATATGTCACTTAGGTATAGTGTGAATAATGGATGGGTGCATATAGAGTGGCCTGTAGCATCCTACATCTTTGACTACACCTTCGGAACTTGTTGGATAATGCAATTTGTTTATTTTAAGAGACCATCTGCAAGCAAATTCAGATTAGAGGATGAGCCTACACAATGATATTCCTTTTAAAATGTGCAATGTACAATGGTTGATTGAGCATGTCAATGACTTTATATATTCTGATTTTCAATAATGTTTATTTGCAATGTTTTCCTTTCAGATTTCAAAAATAGATGGTTTAATCTCTTATCGGGATCCACATTTTTGGCGCCATTCGGCATCTGTTGTTGCAGGGACCATACATGTGCAGGTGATGTCTGATGTTGTGGAACAAAGAATTATCCAGCAGGTAATCCAGATTTAAAACTCATCGCCTGTTTTATTTTTTTGTTTTTTTCACAGTGTAGTTAAAATGCATCCTTACATGTCATTTAGAACACTCCTCCCTTTTTAGGAAAATGTTAAATTGGCATTTGATTAAGTTCTTGTTACTCCCTTTTATTGTTGTTTCCCTCACTATGGTGTAACTTTAAAAAACCTTTTGTAGGAAGGTGCATTTTCTGTCCAGTTTAGTTAGGAAAAATTTGAAATGTAGAGAATTGATAAGGAAATATAAAAAATGGTATGCCAAAATAGCGTATCTGTGGATATTTATCTTGCCAGTTTGGTTCCTGAGTACAATGTTGGTTTATTTACTGAAGCATGAGTTGCAAAGAACTGATAAGGTTTTGGTATTTTTTTTTGTATTTTTTTTTTTTGACCGTTTAATTTTTAGTGACCGTTTACTTGCCTGTTTACTTAATTTGTTGTTTGTGTGGGTTTCTTTTTTTTTATTTTTTATTTTTTTTTAGGAAGGGAGGGGGGTTGTTTAGGGCCTGTTGGCAATGATACAGTAGTATTTGTCTTAAGTGTGCATTGACATGGTGTTCAGCCTGGTACTAAATAGGCAATTATTTCTGTAAGTAACTAATGCGTCCTAAAGGCACACCAACAGTCCAGGATGCAGGCATTTTGTCAAATACTGATCAGGATAAAATCTGGAACATTGGGGGCCTTGAGGACTGGATTTGGAACAAATACCACAAGACCGAGTTAAGCAACCTTTGGCACTCCAGATGTTGTGGGCTACATTTCCAACAATACTCTTTGTCATTGCTGACAAAGCATCAAAGGAGATGCACTCCACAGCATCTGGAGTGCTGAAGGTTGCCTACCCCTGATATAAGATATGCCATTCAGAAAAGTTAAAACCTGTTTAAATGGATGTCTGTTCCTGTAATGTCTGGGATTTTAACACATTGTTTTCATAAATAGGTAACGTCAGTACTTAAAGATGCAGGAATCAACAACCTTACTGTCCAAGTGGAGAAAGAAGCTTATTTTCAGCATATGTCCGGTCTTAGTACAGGCTTTCAGGATGTCCTAGTCATGACAAAACAGATGGACACAGTTAAATACTACAAAGATGGAACTTACATCATGTGAATGAAGACCAACATTTCCAGTATTTTTCACTGTTGTCAATGAGCAGGGGGAGATGGGATATTTGCACATAAATGTACAGAAATGTTATTATAGATCTGGATTTTATAAGTCACATTTATTCTGTCTTTATTGAGACTGAATCAGGATGTTTTATATCAGACTCTGGTCTTCTTTATATGGTCATAATTTGGGGCTTGATTCAGAGGTATGTTGTATATTGTGTTTATTAAATCTTATAATGGTCTCTCTGGAAGAGCAGGTGCATTTTACCATTCCTGAAATATTTTGTATCGTTTAAATCTGCCAACTGCTTTTGTTTCTGGTAGGTGGAAAACAAAACACACAGATAAAAAGAAGCAATTTTAAATTGTATTGTTTTAAGGGTATTTTGTTTTTAGGTTTTAAAAAAAAAAAAAAAAAAAATCTTTTTCTTTTTCATTGTGCCTTTGAAAATATTTTGTGATTTAATCACAAATCTGCCTATGTTTTACTCATGCTGAAGTATGTTTTTGTTACAAAATAGCCTCTGCAACATATTTAGAATTTCAAGTTAGTACATATGGTATTTATTTTTAACTGTAACCATAATGATTTACAAGGCAGGTCTCCGAGTTAGTTGCCTTTTCACAAGTGGTCATTTTCTATGCTGTGAGGGTGGTTGAAGTGTGGTGCATTGAATACAAAAAAGCCAAATTTAGTTCAGTATAGCTGCATGGAGAAAATCTCTAATTTAAATTTTTTTCAAGTTTATAAATTTTTTACACTACGCTTTCTTATTTTATTTTCAGTTCACTGTTAAGTGGATTAATTCTAAAATCAACCATCTGCTCAGCATGGTTATGAGATAACCTGCTTTAATTGTCATTTTTACTATTTCCTGAATCAAGCTTTATACTTTCTAGATTATATGCAATGATTATGTAAATTAGACTCTGACCCAAATATAATCAATATTTTCACAAAGCATTAAAATAAAGCAAAGTCTTGTTTAATTTAAGAAACGCATTTCAACTCTAACCTTAAAGGAGCACTACAGAGACAGGAACACAAACCTATATTCCTGACCCAATAGTGTTAAAAACACAATCTGCCCTCCCCCCCCACCACATGGCCCCCTTGCTTTCCTGAATATATTAAAATATTACCTTTATTCCAGTCTGCTGGTGCTGGTTCTGCCTAATACCTGCCACCTTGGCTGATATTATCAGAAGTGATGATCTCTGCCAATCACAATGCTTTCCCATAGTAAAATATCGGATTGACGGAGATGGTCAATTCTGATGATCAACCAAGGAGGTGGGCTGAGGTGCAGATCCAATTGCCGCCCAGGCCATTCAGCATCTTCTCATTGAAATACATTGAATCAATGCATCTCTATGAGCAGAGTTCAGTGTCTCCATGCAGTGTGCCTTCAGGGACTGACTATAGACACTGTAGTGTCCCTTTAAGATCAAATAGGGAACACAATTCTTGCACATTACAAAAGATTCAAATGTTCTATCTATTTAATATTACCAGTCAATCAATTGGCCACAAACCGTTCAAGGTACACTCTCTTGTTATGCATTAAGAAGAAAAAATAAAAAAACATCAAAAGGGTGCTATAATTTTGAAGAGAATTACACTTGAGGTTACTTTTCTGTGAATGTATTTTATCTTGCATATAGCCCAGTTTTTGCACCTGCATATATCGAATGGAAAATTGATTTAAAGGTACATACACAAATATTTCATTAACGGACCAAGCCGAAGGTGTGTTTCATTGGAGGATAATAATAATTTTAAAGATGTAACCTAAAACATGTTTACACTACCAAAGTGTTCTGCAGGTACTTTGGTCATTTGAATAAACGTGGATTATTAAATAATTTTAGTGTCATGGGTTATTATGCAATATCTGTAGTTCACTGAAAAGGAAATCTTTATTTTTACTTCAACCCTTACTGCATGCATACTGGTAGACATACACAATATTTACCATACAACTGAATTGCTGCTTGGTTCAAACTACCACTGTGGAGATTATACAACTGAGTATTAGATCAAAACTTGTGTTTTTACTTCTACACATACAGTGACATAAATACAATAGTAAACTTATGAGGTTCACATAAATGATAAACATCAGCATGAAACCATAAAATAAGCAACAACCAATTTACTTAACTGAATCTAGGGAGAGTGTTCATAGTCAGCACTTTAATTTATTCCTTATTGTATTGTATGGTATATGTATTATAATGTCTGCTTGGTAGAGTGATTTGAATGTTAAAGAATTCTGAGATTGCATTCCTTTAATTCCTATTCCTTCATCTTTCTCATCTTATCGTTTGTGTTGATTTACTGTCTTTGAAAATATCTTGCAAGTGACTTGCTATTCTGTCATGTTTTGTTAGACGTTTGACATCACATTTGTTAGAATAGTACATTATAATTTCAATGTTTGCTTTCAAGTGCTTCTGGGGTCACATCATGTTGTTTTAGGGGCTGTGCAATTCCCCTAGCGCTACATGTAATCGCATATAAGCGCATAACAAGAGAAGTGTTCAAACATCACAGCAAAGGATTGTACTTTTATACTGACCAAGAGAATTTATGAATAGATTTTAATAATTTAACTAAAGAAACACTCCTAGCACTGTAACCATTATAGTGCACGTGATACAGCAGGGCTTCACTCGGGGGAGCTAACTGAACCGTTCTAAAACAGTTTGACTGTTATAGTGCCAGCAGTGCCCTTGCATCCTCCTCCTACCGTGTTTCTCCGAAAATAAGACCGGGTCTTATATTAATTTTAGTCACAAAAAACACACTAGGGCTTATTTATTTACGGTACCGGTATGTACATTGAACAACATTTAAACAACTTTTTCTTCAAATACCGGTACAGTCATCTTCATTTTCCTTTGAACCATTGGTCCTAATCTCTCATTTACAGCAATATATGGTACAGTAGCTCTCCCTACCGTAAACAACATTTATTCAATTACAATCATGTCATCTTCTTCTGGAATATCATCATAACTCTCCAAACCCTGATTGCCAGCCTGAATTTCTTGCATCTCCATTTCCTTTTGAACCATTGGGCCTAATCTCTCATGTAAAACAATATAGCTCTCCTTAAACGAGTACTTCTTGTCCATGTAGCCTGCTCGTAGTGCTTTGGCAACACAGCTGTCAGTGATTTTATCCCATGAATTCTTCACCCATGTCACGACCTCTAGCAGTTTAGGCTTCACAAAGTTTCCACGCTGATTTCTGACCAATCTATTTTCCGTGCGCAAATGGTCCTTGAATGGTTTGTTTATTACAATATCAAGAGTTTGGAGATAAGCAGTCATTCCTGCGGGAATCATTACTTGATCTATTCTTCTCTCTGCAAGGAAGTTCTTCATGTCTTTTGTGCGGTGAGTGCTGGCTGAATCCCAGACTAGCAGACCTCTTTGGCCACCTCTCAGAACAAGTGGCAGCATTAAATCGATCCACTTTCTTATAACTGCTTGTGTGCACCAGGCTTTTTCTGTTTCAAGAACATAAATGCCTGAAATGCGTTCAATCTGATCTTTCTTGCCCTTTGCGATAATTAGAGGTGTGGCTTTTGTTCCATCCAGACGAATTGCCAAAACACAAGTAACACATGCACTTTCATAACCAGTGGAGGGAACATAGATTGAGGAGGCTCCCCTCTGATCAATTGTCGTTTGAGATCCTTGGCCCATATACTCTGCAGTTTCATCCATCGCAATCATGTTGGAGAGTTGGTATTTAGAAAAGTCTATGCCATCAATAAAGAACTTGAATGCAAGTGCACGTTTAACAACTTCATTATCTTCCAGCTTGAACCGTGTTGTCGATCTTCTTAGAGACAGTTCATATCGCTTAAGGAAGCCATCCAGCCAGTGGTGTGATGGTTTAAAATCTTCTGTGGATATGTCGAATTGTGGTGCTATTTCAAGGGCAAATGCTTGAATATCAGCCCTGCGCACAACCAAAGCCTTTGCTCTCTTGTCAGCAATCCATTCACAGATGACATCTTCCAGCTCAAGATATAATGGCTGGCGACCTGATCCACACTTGCGCTTCTTAGCATTTCCCTCGTCCACCTTTTGACTGAGGTTACCATACTCTGCTCGACATTTTCGGACCATTCGGAGATCTAACTTCATTTCTTTGCAGAAAGTGGTCAGATTCTTGCCGTGGGAGTCCTCCACGATTCCTTTCTTGTACTCGACAGAATAGCTCTTTCTCTTTGCACTCATCTTGTCTGGGGATCAAAATACCGTACTGTCTAATTAATCCACCCCCCTCTAATTAATCCACCCCCCCCTTTAATTAATCCACAGCCCTCTAATTAATCCAGCCCACCCTTTAATTAATTCACCACCCCTTTAATTAATTCACCCCCTCTAATTAACCAGCCCCCCCTTTAATTAATTCACCCCCTTTAAGTAATTCACCCCCCTCTAATTAATCCAGCCCACCCTTTAATTAATTCACCCCCTCTAATTAATCCAGCCCACCCTTTAATTAATTCACCCCCCTTTAATTAATTCACCCCCCTCTAATTAATCCAGCCCACCCTTTAATTAATTCACCACCCCTTTAATTAATTCACCCCCCTCTAATTAATCCAGCCCACCCTTTAATTAATTCACCCCCTCTAATTAATCCAGCCCACCCTTTAATTAATTCACCACCCCTTTAATTAATTCACCCCCTCTAATTAATGCAGTCCACCCTTTAATTAATTCACCCCCCTTTAATTAATCCAGCCCACCCTTTAATTAATTCACAACCCCTTTAATTAATTCACCCCCCTCTAATTAATCCAGCCCACCCTTTAATTAATTCACCACCCCTTTAATTAATTCACCCCCCTCTAATTAATCCAGCCCACCCTTTAATTAATTCACCCCCCGCCCCCTTTAATTAATTCAGTCCCAGACATAAAATATCTACCGGTACTCACATTTCAAAGATTCCTTGCTGAGTCCGACCACTGGGTGCCTCACCGCCCGGAAATGGATCCTTCCGCTGAAGATCCGTGAAGGCAGACTGACGGCGCTGCGAAATGTCGTCATCGCATTGCGTGATGCCGCGGCCCGCAACGCTCCTCCTACGGTAGAAGAAGGAAGTCTCGCCGCAAAGGTGCAATGCCTAGGTCTTATTTTCGGCGTAGGGCTTATATTGCAGCCCACCCCGATAATCCGACTAGGGCTTATTTTCGGGGTACGGTTTATTTTCGGGGAAACACGGTATTTACTAACAATGAGATGAGTGTGGCTGGGCACAGTAGGTACCATATACTACAGCAGTGTACATTACCCAATGACTAGTAACCACCGCATTTAGAATCTGGTGTTTTATTCGTATTAAAATTACAAATATTTTAGTTTTGGTCTTGTGATTAATTTTTTTTTTTCCTCCACTTACATTACGTAACTTTAAAAAAAAAAAAAAAAGTGTGAAAGCTGAGCTGGATGTACAGGCATGTACTTCTTTTTATAATTAAACTATATACATTCCCCTGTGTGTGTAAACCTAATATGAAGTATTAATACTAAGAAAACATTGTGCAAATTGATATGAAACAAAGATGTACTGGATGCTCCCGTAGTTAAGTAAGCCATCATTGTATCTCCTCAAGTTGCCTCTATTTGACCTTGGTGCAGATGTGTGTAAACAGCTGTGTCACATGCCTCTGTAGTGAATACTAAAGCACTATCAGCTATAAAAAGCGGTAATTGTGGGGGGCGGGGCCGGACCGCCGAGCTGGACGGTCGCAAGCCTGAGCAGCTCCTGCAATTAAACAAAATTTACTCTCTAAAATCATGCCTCACCACCTAAAATCAGACCGCCAGAGCAGATACCCAGAGCTGTGAGACTGCTGGACCTGGGGAGAGGCTGGCTCACCGAGCTTCAGTCCCCTAGGGGAGAAAAACACATTGCCCCAACCGGGGCCTTCTCCTGCGGTGAGTGGGGCGGACGGCCGCTGCCCCACTATCCTGCGCCACGGAACCCAGCCACGGGTACAGACCAGCACGGATCCGGCTCCGTTCCCCCCCCTCTAGGCCGGGGGGGTGATCCCGGTCCTCACCCTGTGGCCCTGACCGCGACACTGCAACTGAGGCCGGGGAGCCCGACTGCCACACCTAAAATGGCGGGTGCCATGTGCGCGGACGGTAACCTGAGAGCCCCAGCCAGACGCAAGTGAACAAACCGCTGGCGGGCAACAAGATACACTGAGCCCTGTCATCTCGCAACATGGGAACGCAACAACAGTGCCCTGCCACACACTGCTGCAAACTCCTGGCTTACCCGGCTCACATACCCGGAACCTGGATCCGGTCTCCGCAGCAGCCTTCCTGGGCCTTGAGCCCCTAGAGGACATTCCTCGAACCGCAGCCCTAAGCCCAAGCACACTCCATCAGCCAGGCAGCCCGTTACCGGCCAGAAGTGGAACCGGAACCGAGAGCACAAGCGGTCGCTCAAGCAGAGCCCAGGGCTGGCAGTGTGGAGTACACCGGACCAGCCCCCCCATCAAGCCTCCGCTCACAACATCGGGTTGGAGGCGGGTGAGCCACAAGATTGGAGGACTCAGCAAGCCCTGCTACATAACCTGCCCAGCAGCACGTTGCAGAGGAACATGAGAGACAGTGTGATTTCTACGGTGAGCACACAGTGGAGCCCAGCATATAGCAACCCTGCTCACAGATTATCACACAGTTCAATTTAGGAACGACCCCACACAGAACCCACACAGAGGTCCCACCTGTTGCCTGCTGGCACACACTCACACAAGCATGTTTCCATCGCATCAAATAGGGACTGTCCTCCCCTGGCTTGCTCTCTGTCAGCTACACACCCAGCTGGACACCCAACACACAGCTCGCACAGAGAGGTGCAGGGGTTAGGCAAGCACAACTCACGAGCAATGGCAGGATACAGAGCGGAGATCCAGCAGACAATTAATCCTGAATGTGCAGCGTAAACTAGCATCTACTCAGCATATGCCCTATGCCTTTATTTTCCATGCCCTGCTGTCGCTCTTCTCATAAATCACACTGTCTCTCCCTGGTATAAGTCTAGATTCTTTGCATCCCCATTCTTCACTTATCAGATTAACGCTTCATAGGACCTTCCTGTGTTATCTTTGTTTCAAATGCTAAACATGGGCTTATCAGTCAGACAACAGCTGTATGATCTTGCAGAATGCCATTTTAGAGTGTATTAACGGTTAGTTAACTATGTCTTCACCATACTGTTTATTAAGCTTTACACAAAGAAAAAAAAAAAAAAAAAAAGTGCTGTTTAAGGGCTTTCCTGTGTTATATCTATTTCACATACTGAACATAGGCTTATCTATCATACTACAGCCGAATGATCTCGCTGAATGCCGTTGCAGAATGTATTATCTGCTAGTTAACTATGTCTTCACCATACTGTTTACTAAGCTTTGCAAAAAAAAAAAAAAGTGCTGTTAATAATTGCCATGATACTGTTCAATATGTATTGTTTCAGCGACTTGTACTTGCTGTCGTGGCAATACAAGTGTGTGTGTTAAACCTAAGCACTGCAAAAATAAAGAATTATAAAAAAAAAAAAAAAAAAAAAAAAAAAAAAAAAAAAAAAAAAAAAAAAAAAAAAAAAAAAAAGCGGTAATTGTGGAATATTAATGGTCCACATTCAAGTGTTCCTTGGGGCATATCACAGGAGATGGAGACAGTGCTCTAAAGTAAATAACATTAATTACAGTTACACTATATAGATTACATACTTGGAACCACCAACACATTCCACTTCCTGATTTTACATTTCCCAGCTCTTGGTCAATAGAATATGTTAAATCTTGTAACCAGGTTTTATTACAGGAATATAGAAGAGGCTGTCCGTGAGAAGGTGTAGTGGTCATTTAGAGGCTGTCCCCGGGAACATCTGTAAAGTAATGGTGAAATTAGAAGATATACTTTGTGCTCTGGAACACTTGATTGAATCAGTATCAACAAGTAAAGCTTCTGAGAAAATGTTAAACTGCAAAAGAGAGAGAACTGGATGTGATGCGTGTGCACACCATAGATACCATAGTAGTTATCTACTCCTTCGATAAGGACAATGGAGGAAGATGATAAAAAAAAGTTACACCAAGCATCAGTGGCTTTGATGCTAGGAGTAAATGGCCTGGTGTCTCATTATTAAGGAAAACCTTTTTGCATGGTTTGCCCTCTTACCTCCATCAGATGCCAAGGATCATTTATGGCTGGTGACATGTAACTGGGTTCTACAGAAGTCAAATGACAATCTTGTTGGCCATTCATTGCAGAGTGTTAACTGACCTCTCTCAGCCAATGAATGCAAATCTATGTATAGACACATGCACAGAATTGGCATTAGCCAGCCTTGAACTCTTGTACATGGCTGGCTAATGAAACTCCAGTGACACTATCGGACATGGAGTTACACCTCAGCAAAAGGGTTAAACTCTGTATGTACAGCATTTAATAGCCCATCTCTGCACATACAGACTTCAGGCACTATTACAACTTCAAATTACTGGTGCTTGGAGTAAACATTTAAGAAAATTCCTGTACATACATCTTCCTCAAGCATCCTGCCCATCCATAATCTTGACATAAGACCAGATAGCAATGAAGGATTTCGGGCATCCTGCCTATGGAGACAAACGTTTGACCATCACCTGGAAATCCCTGTGAAGGTTCCATTATGGCTTGAGATAGTAATATGTGGTTATGGATAAATGCTGATGCTATATAGACTCATGTATTATCTACTCTCTGGAGGAATGGCATGTTTTTGTTATTATTTTGCATATGTAATACAATATATTCCATAGTGCTGTACAACAAAGGGAATACAGATTTTTCAATATAAACAGAACAGAAGACCCTGCCAATGAGCTTACAATTTAGCAAATACAGTTCTTTTATACAAAATGCTGAGCAAGATAACTTGTCCTTTTATAATTTAAAGGTAATAACTTGGAGTTATGACATGAGGTTACATGGGCCGATTGCCGGAGACATATGTAAATATTAAATAGCTTGTGAGGTAGTCAAATATTTAAAATTAGAGGCTGCTGAGGGAACATGCTATAAGGAAAAGAGGAGCCAAGGAGAACGTGTGGATGAGTGGTAGCAACATTTTTTTTTAAATATTTCATTGTGCTGAGTGTAATTAGGTTAAATGTCCAGATCTGGAGTGTGACAAAATCCACTATTTTGTCTGTATAGGAGATGTCCACCTCACTAACTGGAACTCCAAGTCGGACACTTGCCCGCACAAACATTGGTGAAACCATGCGAACACCTTCTTCTTTCCGTGACAAGCCAGGAGAGCGCTGTTCAGTAGGTTTGTTCGTATGGACAAGACGAACAAACGCTACCTATGAGCCAGGGGAACCGTTCAACTGTTTATTTGTATGGAACTCCCGAAATTGACCGACCACTGCCACTAAAGCTCTGGAACTGTTTTGGGCAGATGCCTCCTGAGCGGTCGATCAAAACTTTACCCTGGTGGCGATTCAGCTGTGTTCGTGGGATCAGAGAGCTCTTTGGACAACTTGGGTGCTCAGTTCCAGGCTATCCGGGGATATAACATTTGTGGGGGTTCCTATATATTTATTAGGTTTTGGTGGGGGTTTTTTTGACAATCTGTTTTTATTATCATTTTTCTCATATAAAAAGCTTGGTTGAGTATCATTGTATAACATGAATGAAAATGCAGATTATAAATTTATATGTAATAGTTCAAAGTAGCATTTACATAGTTAGGTTAGACAAGCATTGACACATTTTATGTAGGAAGGTTTTACAGCAATATGTGATCAGCCTGTAGAGTATGCTGAGCGATGAGGTTCTAAAACCTGTTATTTAAGGTGAGATACATATATGAGTACCCGTAGGTAAAATATCAGGCCGTCAGCTATTGTACCTCTTACCGAGGAGACTGCGGGGGACCCCGTGGCCAGAAAAACGCATTCGTTTCTACCTTTCATCAAGTCTTCATCAAAGAAAAGTATCCTAGTCTTCTAATTTATCCTGGTACTTATGCACAGCAGGAGGAAGTGAAAGAAGGTGTTAGCCCCCAAGGCACAGCCTATACGAACACACTGTTTGACCACTCAAACCATCCCCTTTACAGTGCATTGAGACAATATAGACAAAATTGGCATTTACATAACTTTTACTATTTTCTTATAGCCCCTGCTAATTTTGTGAAGCTCGACAACCTTTTGCAGCACATCATAGCTATATTCCTTGGTCTTACCCATTGTGATCAATAACTAAGGAAGTTTGGAATATTTTGTACCTCATATTTATACCCCTGTGAAACAGGAAGTCATGGTTGAACAATTTCCTGTTCCTAGTCACCTAAGTGTGCTAAAAAGGTTAAAATATCAATGGGAA